CTTGTCCCTGGACTTGTCCACTGGGTCTTTGTCTTTCTTGGCTGACTTTCCAGCATCTTTCTCCTTCGAGTTGTCCTTGGGCGGCACAGCCAGACTCGGGGAGCAGGGCCTCCACAGCTGCCTTGCCAAGATGTCGGACCGAGAGCTCATCTCTTCATTTTAAGTGATGGAACTTTCTTTGTAAATTAGGTGAATAGCAAGGTATGGATTTTTGGGTGTTGTTCTTGTATCTTTATATTTTATTACTATTTTTGATAGCATAATTGATGATTAACTGTAATCTAATAACTAAAAATTACATAAGCAAATACTCTGGGTGGGTACAAAGCCTTTACTAATAAGAAAAAGCAGAATATGACATAGCTCTATTTTTTTAAAAATCACTTTTATTTCACAAATAATATATTTAAAAAGTAGAAATGTTACAGACACGGCCCCATGAACCCCTCTCCCCCTCTGACTTTGGTCCCCTGTCTTTTCCTCAGAGACAAATATTGTTATCATACACATACACACACACGTGTGTGTGTATATATCTCTGTGTAAAATAGATAAATATGATAACATGGTATATAATAGTTTTTTCCCATATGAAAGTTCTTTTTACCATCTTGCTTTCTTTTTTTTTTTTTTTACTGATTATTATTCATTAGATGTCTATCTATATAAATCTACTTTATACTTTTAGGTTGTTGTATAGTGTTGGGCAGGGGGAAGTCGCCCCTCTACCCTTCTTGAGTTCTTCTAGCTGGACTAATAATAAAATTCACACAAGGCCGGATTAACAGAAAAAATATATATAATTTAATACATGCCCACAGGAGATCATAAATTAGGCTCAGAGAAATGAACAAGTTGACTTGTTACCCTTTTTACGTAGACAAAGAAACAATAAATTTGTGATGCGTTGATAGGACAAAGACACTTAGGTTTGGGTGCTCATTAGTGAGGAATCTCAACACAGTTTGGGCTCGGGTAGTCAGTTAGTAAAGGAGTAACAAGGTTTGTTTATGTAAGCTTTTTGGCCCTGGATTCCTTCACGCTAGCAATAAGGGTGTCTTTTTTTTTCATTTTTATTAAATCTTCATTGTTGAAAGTATTGCATATGTCCCTTTTCCCCTCATTGACCCCTTCTAGCCTGCCCCCAACCATGCACCCCAGGCCTTCACCAAAGGGTGTCTCTCTTAGCCCCCCTGGAGCAGGGAGGGCACCTTCCCCGGGGGAGATGTATTTTCTGCATCAAGGAGACAAGGGAGGGCTGGCCTGCCCTCTGGCACTGGCTGCTTGTCAAGTAACTTTAAATCAGAGTCATCCCTATCCCACTGTGAGATCTTTTGGGGTAGCCTGCTCCGGGCTGCAACAGTAGAATTCCATACTATAGGGAAACCACAGCTTATTTAATTATCCAACTGACGAATGGCTACATCGATTCCACTCTTCACTAGTACAGTGGCCTAGAGAGCGCCCCCCACAGGCTCTGCAATGGAGGGAGGTTTTCTACGGGAGGCACGGAGGATTAGAATTGCCAGGGCATCAAGGTGTGCACATTTGCAGCTCGAATAGATTCTGCCAGTTGTCCTCCAAGACAGATAGTTCTCTTTGTACTCCCACCAGCAATATATGAGAGGACCCATTAGCCCATACCCTTTCAATATGTAATATTAGCAGACTTCTTAACTTTTGCCATTCTGATGAGTAAGAAATGATATCTTGTTATTGAAAGTTTGCACGGCTCTATTTTTCCGTCATTCTTACATAACCTGTTTGGTTCCCAATTAAATTACAGAAGCAGAGGGGATTGGGGTATGTGTTTTGTATCCTCTAATGGCACACAGTGCTAGGCACAGGATAGGCTCTCGTAGATGGAGGCTAGAGGATGGATTGATTGGTTTGGACAATTTTTAAATTTCAAGAAATAAAACAGCAGAGGTGGAAATGTCAAGAAAGGAAGGTGCCGCTGATCTGATCAAAGGGGGCAGGGAAGGTGAGCCCTCGGAGAACACAGAGAGGTTCTAAGGGTGTCTGCAGGGAACAGAAAGGTGAGATTTTGACTTTTCCTTTTGGCTGCCTCCCAGTTCAAGCTTGTTTCTTGCCTCCTGGGTGTCTCTTTGGGGAGAAGACTTCGGGCCTGATTTCCCCAAGGACAGACAGGACTCTGCTTGCTCCTTCTTGCTGTCCTTTCTGTTCCAGCTGTTGCTCTCAGCAGGCGTCTTTCTCGCACGCTGCTGGGTACGAGGGGATGCCATTTCCACCACCAACCCCCACGGCCAAGTGCAGATAGGACAGGCTGGTGATTCATCTCAGGAACTGGAGCCCCCCTGGTCAGGACCCATGGCCTTTGGGACTGACAGGCTAGTACTGCAGTTGTCCTTCTAGACCGTATAAGTCCATTAGTCAGTTTTTCTCCCCAACTATTGGCCAGGCCACACTGAGAAGCTCTGTTCTAGACTCTTCTTATGTGGGTTCCGGGCCCTGGAATCTCCAGCCCAAATCACAACACGCCTGTTCCCAGGTTCTTCATGGGCCTCTTCTCCTGATCCATCCTCTGGGTTTGCACACCCTGGGCCAAGGGCCAGCTGTTTGAGGGAGCAGCAAAGATAAAGGTTGAATATGTGTGCTGGGCTGTCCATACGCAGGCATTTGAGGCCCTGTTGGCGCCAGATGGAAGGGAGATGGGAGAAAAGCGGTTCAGGCTGCCGGCTGGTGGAGGAAGGGGTGCAAAGATTTGGGGTGAGCCCAGCTGAAGGAGCCCACTTCTCTGTACATCTGGAACCCCTTTACAGTGTTCCCCTGTGCTATGGCCGGCCAGTCAGGAAACTCTGGGCCAGGCATTTTCTGCTGTGACTTTCAATGTTTTAAATTCTGATTTTTCTCCATGGCCACAGTTGAGAGCCTCTTAGCAGTTTGCAGAGTAGGTGGGTAACACATGGACTCACTGGTGACATGTGACATTTGGCTCTCTGCTTCCTCAGTGTTGGGATTGGAGCCTCATCAACTCAGCTTCGTCAGCCACCCCTCCCTCCCTCAGTATAGACACATTGTGCTTCCGATGCCCGCCTCACCACTCTGGGAAAGGATTTTGTTTGTTTTCCTTAAGTGTGATGAAAAGCAAACAAACCCAGGCAAACGCCCCAAAGGAACGATAGGCAAATGATTTGACAATTTAAAACAAACAAACACCTAATTAGCTAATAGGCATATAAATAATGTAATATCTCTAGTAAGTCAAGAAGTGTAAATCCAAGCAATGAGATACTTTATTTTGTCTCTTAACCTGGCAAAGATGGGAAACAAAAAATGAAATATTCAGTGTTTGTGGGGGGTTGGGTAATATTGCATTTCATATACTGTTAGCAAAAGGGCAATGGGGTAATAGGAGATTTATAGGGATAAACGTAGCAATACATTGCAAAAGACCTTAACATGTGCATATCCTTTGAAATCTTGAACACAGCGTTTCAGTCTTCTTACAGCCATTGGTTGCTGATGCAAACTCTGATGTCAACCTCATTCTTGACTTTTGTCCTCTTCTGAAGCCTTTCTTGTTCTCAGTGACATTCTGAAATTTCACTGAGGTCCATCTAGGTTAGTTTTCTTTTTATTTATCCTGCCAGGCACTTGGGAGGCTATTTCAGTTTCACATTGTTCTTCTGTTCTGAGAAATACTTACTTAAGCCAGATAATTTGCTGGAATGACTCACAGAACCCAGGGACACTTTACTTACACTTAGGGTAGAGGACAATGTGAAGGGCACAGATGAAAAGCCAGATGAAGAGGTACATAGGGCGAGGCCCAGAAGAGTCCCAAATGCAGGAGCGTCTGTCCCCCTGGGGTTGAGGTGCGCCACCCTCCTGGCACATGGGGTGCCTTCACCAACCTTAAAGCTCCCTGCACATCATCATTTAGGAGGTTTCATGGAGGTTTGATCATTAGGTGTGATCAATTATTAACTCAATCTCTAGCTCCTCTCCCCTCCTGAGAGGTGGGAGGTGAGACTGAAAGTTCCAAGCTTCTGATCAAGGTTAAGTCTTTCTGGCAACCAGCCCTCATCCTGAAGCTGTGGGAATGGGGGGCATGTGTTGCCTCATTAGAACAAATTTGCCTATTACTCCCAAAGTTCCAAGGATATTAGGAGCCAGGAGCAAAGACCAAGGTCATAACAAAAGATGCTCTTATCATTCCATCACTCAGGAAATTATAAGGGTTTTAGGTGTTCTGTGCCAAGAACTAGGGATGAAGACCAAATACATATTTCTTATTATATCACAGTATCCCACCCTCATAGACTGCTCCATCCTTGCTGACTGGCCTCAGCTGATGGAGGAGTAGGGTGGCCAACACACCTGGCTACTCCTGGACTTTCTATCGCACAGCCCCTGCCCACTTTCAGTCTCCCTCTCGTACTCTCCCTCATGCTATATGCTGTTCTTTAGCCATGAATTCCTCACTGTAGTCCTCCTCTTGTGTTTCAGTGAGGCTGTTTATTTACACTTATTCTATCATTTCTTGGCATTTGTTATGGGAGGGACCTAGTCCAACACCTTGAGATGGAATTATGTAAAAACTGTATAACCTTCGAACCAGTAATCCATTTCTAGGAATTCATCCTAAGGATGTAATTAAAAGTAAATCTTTAACTCTGAAGAGTTTCATCACAGTAACATTTATTTTGAAAACATATATTCAACTAGAAGGGATTAGTAAAGTAAATGGTGACATATTCCCATAACAGCAGACCATGTAAAAAGTAATATGACAATATTCAATGGCATGGGGAAATGCCATTGATGTATTAAGTAAAGTTATCAGGTTATAAATTATTTTTAAACATCGCATCTTTGTAAAACAAAACAACACACATGTTTTTATCGAAAAGGGTAACTTGGCGTGGTGAGATTTCTGGTGACTCTCCTTTCTTCTTTTTGGCTGAAAATTTTCCATGCTCTTGGGGATTGTTTGTGGCAAGACTCCAATGCCATTCTCTGTCTCCCTCCCCCAGGTGTGCTGGAAGATGGACTGTCCTCCAATGGTGTGCCCCGATCTACAGCCCCAGGTGGAATATCCAACCCAGAGAAGAAGACGAGCTGTGGAACCCAGTGCTCAAATCCTCAGAGCCTCAGCTCAGGCACTTTGACCCAGAAACACAACGGCCTTCGGACCACAGAGGTAGGTAGGTCACAGCCACACACCAACTTGGGCCTGGAGAAAGGGAGAGACTGTGCCCTTGGAAAGAACAGCGAAGGTTCCTCTTGCTAATGGAAATTCTCTGCCTCACCCATGTGAAAATTGCTGCCAATAAAATAGCAAGACCCAACACCTACCCCAACTCCTGCCTTGAGGGCTGCTAGGTTTAGTTGAATCAGCTGAAATGGGTCCTTGATGTTGGCACTCTGAAGTTTGTTTGCTTACAGGCAGCTTTGTTCAAGGATCTCCTTTCCTGTGTCAGGTCTCACCATCTTGATCATGAGGACTGTGCTGGCTGTAGCAACCAGTCTTAGGCCAGGCAGTCGGCCAGTCTTAGGGGTTGGCAGCGTGGGGAGTAGATAGGGAAGGAGAGAGAGGACCAGGCGGGCTATGCGAAGCCCCTAGGGGGACTCTTGCCGCAGAATGTTGCTGTTGGAAAGGAAGTAGGACTGCAGGGTCCCTGGCCTCGCTAGCATCCTTCTGATCCTTGCTTCCCTCTCTGAGCTCTTGTTGGGAAGTGCTCCTCCCATGGGAATGAATGCCCTTAGGAGGCCAGCCCCGGCTCTGCAGCCTCTTCCTCCTTCCACTCCCCGTCTCCCTCCCACTTCCTCATCTTCCCCATCTCCCACCTTCTTTCAAAGTCCACTGCTTACTGCATGCTCCAAACTCATTTTTCCCCTCTCCCCTGTTATAACTTACTGGTCCTGTCCCCTCAGGCCAATGCCACCTGTTTTCTGAGTGCACAACTGGTCATCTAATGATGGAATCCCTGCTCACATCAGTGTGTTACCTCTCTAAGCTTTGGTCAAAAAACCTGTTGCAACTTCAGCTCTAACACTCATTAAGGAAGTAGCCTTGCAGGAATCACTCAATCTCTCAGAGTCTCAGGTTCCTTATCCACACAATGGAAATAATACCAAAATGACACAGCAGATGGGCCTGCTCTTTGTAAATTGAGAAGCACTATAAGAAAGGCAAGATGGATTAACAGGGATGGTTAGGCACACAGTGCCATAAACCAATTATTATTTTTTAAGTATATTTTTATTGATTTCAGAGAGGAAGGGAGAGGGAAGAGAGAAAGAGAGAAACATCAATGATGAGAGAGAATCATTCATTGGCTGCCTCCTGCACGCTCCACACTGGGGATCGAGCCTACAACCCAGGCATGTGCCCCAACCAGGAATCAAACCACGACCTCCTGGTCCATAGATTGATGCTCAACCACTGAGCCATGCTGGCCGGGCCCATAACCTAATTATACAAAACTGATGGTGGCCATTCAGGTACGGTAGACGGTAATGGGTAGGGAGAAGATTTGAGGATCACAGTGGCCCTTCCTGGGATTCCTAGTGCCTACCGTTGCCTGTGCATCAGCTGGCCTTCTAGAAGCCTAATCATCATTGCTGTCTCCCAAGGCAGACTGGGCCCCACAGAACTACACTCAGAAGCTCCAGTCTGGGCCCTGCCACTTGCCCCCTAGCCTCCTCCCCACACTTGTGCCTTTTCCCTTTGAGCCAGGATGTGCGTGGCAGGGAGGAAGCCGCTTTGCCTGGTGCGTGATGTGGTGCACACGTTTGCTTTCCCACCTCCCTACCTGCCCCATCATCCGTCACTTTAAAATTGTGTTCTGTGATTTACAGAGCACTTTGGATCTACTGGTTCATTCAATCTTCCCAAGAGCATTTTGTGAAGTAAGCGTCATCCTCATTTTATAGACAAGGAAATGCGCTGCATTTACTAGTAATTGTCTGACAGAAATTGGCTGTTTTGTGCTGGAGGTGGGTGCCAGTAACTTTAAATTGAAACAGGCGACTATTAGAACGGGGAGGGGGGGGAGCATAGAGATCAGAAAGTACTTTTTTACTGAAGAATAATGTGTATTAGTCAGCTATTGTCATAATAATGCTGCATGACAAAGCACTTCAACATCCCCTGGCTTAAAATAGCAGTCCTTTTCCTCCTCCTCATCAGCTGCAACTTGACCGATCCAGGCCTGACTTCAGGCTCCAGGCTCCGGGTCTTGCTGAACCTTCTTTTCCACGGGTATTGTTCTAGGAATTGGGCCAAAAGAGCAGCAGCATTCTGAGGTATATTCTCCTCATGACTCGGACTGTGTTGGGGCTCAGGGCAGACTGCCCCAAAATATGCCACTGGGCATATTGATTATTTTTAATTAAAGTGACTTAAGAAACAGCTGGTGCAAAAAGAGCACGCTGACTGTCCTTTGTCTCTGGAAGCAGGAAATAAATCTCCTGTGTGAAAGGGGCCCTCCCCACCGGGAGGCAGGGAGACTCCTCATCACCGAGACAGGAAGGCAACTCGGGGCTGTGAGGGCTGTGTGAACAGCGTGTGTGAACAGCGCTGCTTACATTCTTCACTAATTAAGCACCCAACCTTAGGTTTCTTAGTCTTATCAGTTCTTCATGAATTTGTGGTTTCTTTGTCTAAAAAAAGTATGAAAGCTGCCTGCTTTGGTCATTTCTTCAGGTTGCATATCTGTGAGACACCAATAGGTACGAACTTGATTTTCTCCCGTCCAACTGTCATGTCCACTTAATTCTTAAACCAGCCAGAAGAACCCGGAAGGGCGCAAGGAAAATATTTTCTTCCCTGACAGCAGAAACCCAAGAGGGCGAAATCAAACTGTTCAAACACATTTTATGTCTCTGCTCACATCCTACCAACCAACCTCCTGTTGGCCAAAGCACGTCCCATGGACAAGCTCTACAGCAATAGGGCAAGGAAGTATACTTTCCACCAGAGTTGTCCCTGGTGGAAAGATAGGAGCAATAATACAATCTACCACATATAACATACATACAGAAAAATGCACAGGTCATAGTTCAATGAATTTTTATAAGACATTATAAAAATTGTAACCATCTTCCATAGGAAGACATTATCACTACCCCAGAAATCCTCCTATGCCCTTCCCCAGTCACCACCCCCCCCAACATAACCACTTTCCTGACATCCAGCACTGTACGCCAGTTTTGTTTATTTTCAATATTTTTATAAAAGGAATTATACAACAGGTGTTCTTTGGTGTCTGGCTTCTTTTGCTCAATATTATGCCAGTGGGAATTATCCATGTTGTTGTGAATGGCAACATTTCCTCGTTTTCATTATGTATATTTCATTCTACTGGGAGGACATTTGGGTTGTTTTCAGTTGGGGCTATTATAAACAATATAGCTATTAATATTTTGTTGTTTATATGTGTATTTTTAAAATTTTAAACCTTTTAAAAATGAAATTTATTGGGGTAACATTGGTTAATACCATTATATAAGTTTCAGGTGTACAACTTCATAATACAACATCTCTATACTCCATTGTGCTTACCACCCCAAACCTAGTCTCCTTTCATCACCATACATTTGACCCCCTCCCTTTACCCTCTTCGTCCTCCCCATACCCCTTTCCCCTCTGTAATCACCGTTCTGTTGTCTGTATCTATGAGTTTGTTTGTTTGTTCATTGCTGCTTTCTGTTTTACATCCCACATCTGAGTGAAATCATACTGTTCTTGTCTTTTTCCATCTGACTTATTTCACTTAGTATGACATTCTCAGGATCCACCCATGTTATTGAAAATGGCAACATTTCATTTTTTTTTATGGCTGAGAAGTATTCCCTTGTATATACCATATCACATGTTGAAGGACACCTAGGTTGTTTCCATGTAACATTCTTGTGCATGCCCTTCTGTGGACATACACATCTTTGGGGTATATACGTGGAGTGAAGTTGCTGGCTCATAGGATGGGGATATATGCAACTTTCATAGACACTAACAAATAGTTTTCCAAAGTGGTTACACCAGCTTACACGCTCACCAGCAGCATATGCATTCTGGTTATGGAGCATAAGGATTTAAAGCCAGTTTGTTGTGCTTAGGCTGCTACGACATTGCGATATTATCTCACTTAATCCTCACAGTGACTCTGAAATGTTGATTTGTTGTCTCCGGTCCACAGATGGAAATGGAGACTCCGAGGTAGCGAGGGAGAGCACTTCCTCAGTCCGCACTCACAGGCACCCTGGGATCTCGTGTTGTTATTAAAGTCTGGCCAAGTGGAGCCAGACCCTGGGACCCAGACCCTGGGACTTCAGCAGCAGCGGAAACCATTGCCAGGGAGTGAGGACCACACACACAAAGCACCAGAGGGCAGATGGCTCATACTGATAAGCCATCCAGGCTGCTTTTGTGTTCACAATTCAATGAACAATGGCTACATTGAACTATTTCCAAACTAAGATCAGGGAGCAGATAACTTTAGTTATAATTGCTGCTAAATGCATCAGCGGTCTTCCGATGCTGCGAGCTCACCCGCCACCAGATGTCCTGGGTCCCTGACATGGTGTGGAGAAGGTTTCCCATTGAAGGCAGTGGTTCTCAACCTTCTGGCCCTTTCAATACAGTTCCTCATGTTGTGACCCAACCATAAGATTATTTTCGTTGCTACTTCATAACTGTAATGTTGCTACTGTTATGAATTGTCATGTAAATATCTGATATGCAGGATGGTCTTAGGTGACCCCTGTGAAAGGGTCGTTGGACCGCCAAAGGGGTCGCAGCCCACAGGTTGAGAACCACTGATCTCAGGTGTCAGTTTACAAGACAGGTTTACCTCGGATTTCCCTTTCTTTTCAGCAGAGCCATCTCACACCAACACAGCTCTCAGCTACCTGGAATCTGCCCAAGGAAATGGGTTTTCTTCCTATTCCATCCAGGGCCTTGGACATACTTGTTTCTTCCTGGCTTGTGTCTTATCCTCTGGACCAAAGCTTCCTGCATGTTCAGCGTCTGGCTCAGGCAGTGTCCACTCGCCTCTTCCTGTCTTCCTCTGCTCCCCCAGGATGACCTGTTAGCTTTTCACAGCTTTCCCTGGACATCACCGGGCCACCTGGCTGATGGTCCTTCGCCACTTTTTTAAAGCTTCCCTCCTCCAGAGGAACCCTTCATGGAGCATGCGT